AACCCAATCCAAAAGATTCTTTCCATGGCCCCTTTGGGAAACCAATTGTAAGAGTTGTGCCAGTCCAACCAAAACCTTCTAAAAGTCTGGCCAACTTTAGTAGCCAAGACAAGACTTATTTCATAATCCGTTATCAGGACAATCTCAGAGAGATTCTGATATGATAGAGGAATTCTTTAGGGCTAATTCGTCAATTCCAAAAAGGTCACTCACAATTGCAGCTAGATTGCTCGGTTTGAGTTTTTTCATTTTAAACATAAAATATCATTTTTTATAAATATTATTATTATTATGAAAGATATATTCTATTGGAAGAACCTTGTTTAATACTATATTAGAATTATTTTTTAATATTTCCTCCAATTCAAAACAGTAGAGTCGAACGAACTAAACCTCTTAAGTTTGTACACACCGAATGCGGATCTCTCTTTTCACTGAGTTTGACATGACTTTAAACAATTGACTCTTTTAAATGTCAGAAATTTCAATCAAAATTTATAGGATCACCATCATCCTATTATCCAAATCAACATTGAAATCTAAAAATTATTCTTATGGTTTCTTTTTCTATCCCAATACTTTGATTTGAGATCCTTAGCTCTCACCATGGATTTAAATTATTCTTTTAACATTTCCTTGTTAATCTCATGAATCAGCTCTTATTGTAATCATTTCGATCCCATACTTCCTCATTCTACTCCAAAGATTTAGCCTCAGCAACAACATAAATTAACCCGAGTTTACTCTGTATGATTGCAAAATCTATGGCCATGGTATAATCTTCACGTAATTGGAAGGGTCTGTCAAAGCCTGGCGAATTCTTATAGAATACTCCTAGTTGGCTGGTTACTAGCTCAAAGCCCCATTTTTACCATTACTTCATTCCATCTAAATGAGGCTTTTCCCTCAACTTTTATCTTCTAGCGAAAAATGAAAAATAATTTTATTTTTTTTAATATCATTAATTGATGATTTTAATAAATAACAAATTTAAAAAATAGCCGAAAATTAAAAAGTTATATATCTCAGAAGTGATTTTAAAATAATATCAGAATTAATCAATTGATGCTCTATGCCTTCGCTATAAATTAAAATTCTCTAAGTTTCTTTCTGATTAATTTTTTCTTCTCTTATCCAAAAAATTTATTGGAACTAAATTAGATGATATCTAAAAATAGAAAATCAATTAATATCGCAAAGGTATAAGAAATTATCTAATAATTAATTATTATTTAATACTAAATTTGTTTAATTCCAGATCATTAAATAGACATATATTCCAAATAACTATGTGCCTAACATTATAAAAAATAAGAATAATTTGATAATAAAAAGAATTATTACTTATTTCATATAAAAAAAGTATTTGACTTAAGTCTAAATTATAATAAATTGATTACTTTGAAAATGTATTCAAAAATTCGGCTAAAAATGATTGATGATAAGACGATCCACATAGAAATATCATAATTGAATCCATTAATACTTAAGACTTCTCCAATAATAATGGCTTGATTCCACCTCAATAAAATCAAAACAGAACGATGAAATGAACTAAAGTAACAAATCTTTTTATATATCATTGATGTTAAAAAATGATATTTCTATATTAAATATATATTAAGTATACCCAAAAGTTATTAAAACTAAATTTGTTTTTATCTGCCTGTGCTTATGCATTTTAAGGTTCTTTTGACTCAATCTGAAATACTAGCTTTTCATCATCATTAGGAACAATTTTTTTTTCGTAAAACCCCTACTTTATTACTTTTTACCAATTTTAGAACTTAACCAAACTTATTAATATCTATAGATTTTTCATAATACGGCTTCCTAGCTTTAATGAAAAATATTCCTAAGATGATTAATTACAAAAAGTAAACAATAAATAACAGATTGGGGATATTCAATTAGAACTAAGGAGAATTTGAATAAAGGTAGCCATAATCATTGCAAATGGTTGTTGGAGCAAGCGTTGTACAATTACAAAAATAGGATGTATTTGATTCATGAAGTGTGCAATTTTCATTTGACCATTCATATGTTTAAGAATTTCTCATTAAACAAACAAGATTTGCAGTATCATTAAGTACTTTAAACTTGTAGGAGATATATGTCTATAATTAAATATTTTATTTCCTATTCTATTAACGTATTTAATAATCATAAAGTGGATATAATTATAAGGGATATGGATAGTAACCATCAAAAGCGAAGTAATTACGAATATATATAGCTTAAACAACATCATAGTATTCTAAATCTTTGGAATGATCTTCAGTAGATTCAACTAACAGTCTTCCCTTTGTGATATTGGATATATTATTAATTTTTTACATTTTTAAAAAGGCAGTATCAAATGAGTAATCGATAGATCCATTAGGTTCAATACCAAATAGAGACAACTCTATTATTGCTGTCAGAAAACTTTTTAAGCGACTTTGCAATTCATAGACAGCAGAGTCTTCAGTAAATAAAGTTTTAGCCCACATAAACACTGTGCTCTTTAAGGCTGTGTGTAAATCATTCTAATTCTCTAATGATCTTATATCAATTTGAGAGTAATTCAGATATGCGGTTGACTGATATTAAAGATTAATTGAATGTTGGTTGATTTTTTCTAATCTTGAATTAAGATTTTAAATGTATTACTCTAATATTTTCTAACAATTTGAATTTGTAATTGTATTATTTAAATCTTTTAGAGTGGATAAATGTAATAAAGATTAGCTAAATAATCTAAACTCATCATCATATTTTATTGGAATTTTAATTAATTATTGCAAAGCATTTAAAATAAGGCTGTTAAAATTATTGTATTCTTCTATGGTTCCACTGCAATCATCAAAATAATATTCTGGAGGACATTTGCACTTTTTGTCAATGCATGTACCAACACCTGAGCATTGTTTCAAGCAGACCTATTATTATTCAATTTCCATAAGTTTAATCATCGTATGAATGCTTTGCAAATTTGAAAAATTAGTTTGATTATTAAAGGATTAGAATAATTTATTAGTCTGATAATTTTTTCTATTGACTTGAATATCTTATACTAAATAGGACTTTGATCCCTTTGCTGATTCAATTTAACAAAGAATGGATATTGCATCATCAATAATTCCGTTTGGAAGCTAGAAAGAACCTGTCAATACTTGTGAATTAATCACCAATGGGATACCTTTATTGACTGATTATAAGTTTACATCATTTTAAAGAGTAAGCTTGTCAAAATAGTAATAAATGCTAAATGTATTATCAGGTTGTAAGTTGTGTATAGAATAGTTAAAGTAATCTAAAGATTCACCTACGAGAGGATCTATATGAAATTAAACATCTGAAGGAGGAATGTTTAGCTGAAATGCTATAGATTCATTTCCTGGGACTAGATATATGTACACAGGACTATTGTAATTGGTTGTTAATCCTGTGAGCCTAAACTTTAAAGTTTAGCCTGTAGTTTTAATAGATGCCAAGATCTTGAATTCTTGCATTATGAAAGCATATTTTTAATTATTTCTTATTAAAATAGTTATTTCATCATTAAGATTGACGGCGTTTTGAGGGATTTCTTTATTTAAAACGAATTGTTCCTCAATTTCAAAATCTGTGACAACTATCAACTACTCCTTTACAGTCCATCTATTATCTTTCGATGCTTTAACAAAGAAGACGAAAGTAGTATTTTAGCTATCTGCAAGAATATCAGTAATTCTTCTGGATGGAAATTCCATAATTTTATTTTCTTCTGTCTTACAAGGTTATAAATTGAATAAATTATTACACTGCCATTAATATTCAATATTTTAATGTACTTAACACTTCATCTTATATATTTCTATCAAAGGCTCTTGCATTAATTTAATTGTCTAATCCTATAAATCTATCCTTCTAAAGGAATTAAATGTCAATCTTTTTCGATTTTAGATAAAATTTTTCATGAATGACCGAACTTGTTGTTGATGCCACAAAAAATAATGGGATTTCTTTTGGTAATAGAGATTCATTTAATATAACTTCATAAATGGGGTTAATGGATTGTTGTATGGAAATGTAAGTTTTATTTTCTGAATCAGAAATTTGAATGGCTAAATTAAACTCATTTTTCATATCAGAATATGTGCTTTTACAATCGAAAACATAAACCTTAGCTATCAAAGGATTATATTATAGAAAAACATAAGGAACTAGATCTGGTAGTGTAGTGAATGTGAAGGTTGTGAAATTCACTCTTTTTATGAAATTCATATATTTGGCTGTTATGGTATAAGTAACATTAGAGGCTAAGGTACCTATAGGAATGATGAACTCATCTTTTTGTTCTGCCAAAAATGCATCTATTTATAAATAATGATTGTCATTATCCATTTCATGAAGAGTCCAAAATAACACTTTTTGAATCTTTTTTGCTGTTCCATCAAGTAATATTTGTTTCACTTCAATTGTCTTACAGGTACTTACAACCGATGGCACATCAAAAAGTACATAAGGTTTAGTTTAGGCTGATGGTCCCTTAACAGTACTATCAATAAATGTCTCAATATATTATCCATCACAAAGACCTTCATTTACATCTCGATAGAAAGATTATTAGAAACTCAATTTATCTCCAATATTGACAGAGGCATATGGCTCCAATAAGATGTGAACTACATATCTGTCCCATGACAAATAACATTAAGCATTTTGTCCAAATATTTAAGCATTTTCAAACCAAAAATAACAACTTGAGGGTTAGAAAGGGTTAATTAAATTAACAGAAATCAAATATCCAAAATAAACAATTTTTTGAAT